TCTTCTTGGGTTGATTCTACTTGGGGTCCTATGTATTTCTTGGGTCTGGATATTTGAATGCCTTTCTAGGTTTGGAAAGTTTTCTTCCAGGATTTCATGGAATAAATTATCTAGGCCCTTATTATTTTCTTCCTCTTCTGGAATACCAATTATCTGGATGTTGGGGTGCTTAATCGTATCCAGTATTCCTTGTATATTATCCTCATTTTTCATGGTTGTTTTCTCAATCTTGATACTTTTTTCTATGTCATATGTTTTGTCTTCTACATTAGAGATTTGATCTTCTGCCTGGTCTAACCTACTTTTAAGACTTACAAGGGAGGTATTGATTTCCTGTATCACATTTTTCAACCCTAGAAGTTCCATCTGGTTCTTGTTTAAGGTATCCATTTCTTCTTTCAAGTCATGAAAGGACTTCCTCATCTCCTGGAGCTCCTTGTCTTTTCTCTTCCATCTCAGTTAATTTGGTTACTATAAATATTCTGAATTCCTTATCGGACATGTCCACGATGTCCATTGTACTGACTGTGAGTGATGTGGGCTTGAGAATTTCCCTTGAGGGAGAGACCTTTTGTTGGTTTCTCATATTTCTTGAGCCTCTGCGATTGTTCCTAGTTATCAGGTAGTGTATATGTTGCTTCCTAACTTATTTAAGGTATCTCTGAGTGTTAAGAGTTGTACAGGATTAGAAAATTAATGATTTCTCTTATGGTTGGCCTACCCGTTGCTCACAATTACCATTAACTGTTGCCACTGGTACTGGATGGCCCAAAGTCCTCCCTGTTTCTGAGGAGTGGTGAGCCTCCAACTGACCTAATAAGCAACACCTCAAGAGCAAAGAAAAACAAAACAAAAAAAGAAATCGCATGTACACAGCACCCTATTCATATCACTAAAATTCAGAGAGTCCAAAGGCAAGTGGAGAAGACCCAGAGGATGAGTCACAGGCCAGGCTGCCTGGTGTCCGGAACTGCTGGTCAGCTCGATCCGGTTTGCAGGTGGGGTGGGGTGTGAGTTCGTCTTAAAGTTGCATACAACCAACCTGGGGTCCATGCAGGAGGAAGGGTGGGGATGTGCCAAGTGCCGGAGCATTTGGGCCTGCAGCCTCTGGCCGCCTGGTGTCTGGAACTCCCCAAAATAAATTCTTAATTATTGGCTTAATAGAATTAGGACTGTGCTTACAGGTAATTTAACTTTTTAATCCTGAATATTTATTTATTTGCCTTTAGAATATTTTTATATTTGTAGAATAAAGGCTAATATTGTTTTGTGATTTCATAACACTATCAGCATAAAACAATGACTTTGAATTGCAAAGAATTGCCTTATCACACTACAGGCTAGTCCAGCTTCTTTCTTGATGCCTTTGACTGTTTTTCCTTTAGACTTCTTACTCAGTCTTTAGAGATACTTATCATTTCTGTTGGGTTTATTTAAAGTTCTGGCCTCCAAAGAGCTGCTGCTTACTCTCTATTGTTTTTTTCATCCAAGTACATGTCCTGTGTGTGGAAATTTCTCATGTTTTGTTTAGTAAGATTCTTCCAGCTCTTGTGGGTTGTTTACAAAATAACATGGTAAAGGAAAATGGGGACAGTGCCAAAAAGTGTTGAAAATATGTGTTGTTAAGCTTCCAGGATTAGAGTCTCACACTGGGCAAAATCCAAGAGAATAAAATTATATGGGGCCTACCTATGCCATGGTGATTAAGGCAGCTAGATCCCATTTGGTCAACAGTGCAGTTGGGTCTCAGACTTAGTTGATTGAAAGTCACTTCAGGACCAAGTACATGCATGCTCAAAATCTCAAAAGGAGTGAGAAGGGGAGAAGAAGGGATTGTGGCATGACCATTCCCATGTTGGGTGGTTTCTTATTTTCCTTCTCTTGCTCATTGTCTTTATCTAGTGAACATACATGTTGTATGGCAACATTTAACACACATAGAGCTAGATCAAGCTAAGATATAGCTTGTAGGATAAGCAAAACTTGGATATTTAATGAGTATTACTTAAAATTTTCCCTTCAGTTTTTATTTTTAAGAGAGATTTTTGCTATAGGGTTCATGCACTTGCTGAGAGACAGAGAGAAAGTGAGAAATCACCCTCCAGAAGGCTGGCCATGCTGCAATCCCTTCTTCTCCATTTTCCTCTCAGGATTTTGTGCACACATGCACACGTGCCTGGCCTGAGTTTTAAGTCACCAAGTCTAGGACTCAAACCACAGTCAACTATGAGAGAATCCAACGACATAACCATTACGCCATCTACTGGTCCCTTCCCTTCAGTTTTTTAAATGAACATTTGCAAGTAGTTCAACTTTATGTATTTTTTCCTGTTTATTAGCTTGTATATTTATAGTTTCTTGTATCTTTAGGTTCTTTAATTATCACAAGGATTTGTGAACTATGTCTCATGTCATTCAACAAATGCTTTAGATAATATAGCTATTCCATGTGGAGATAGTGGTCTGTAGAATTGCTTTTATGTCAGAAATTGTTTTTATACCATTTCTGATGGTAGATGGGAACCACTATGCTATAGTGATTATTCAGAACTGATGGGGGGGGCATTGAGAAAATCATGATGCATTTTTGCATAGAAAAATACATCATGATTTTTTCCCAATGACCTAATACACTAGATATTCCCATATGTTGTTTTCTCTAAAATGTTTTTTCTCTTCCACCAGACACAGTACAATGAACAAATTAACAAGGTGAAGCAAGGGTTTGCCTTGAGTACTTTGCCTCCAGTTCAGCTTCCTCCTCCACCACCCAGTCCTGAGATACTGGTAAGGAACAGTTTGAAAAATTGCCATCATAATTTTGATGAAATTGTAAGGGCTACTGAACATATAGTATTTTAGTATATGTTTGAAATGGAGTAGGCACATGTTGTACCATAAATTTCATACCTGCTAGTCTCCAAATGATTTAATTAGTTGGCTGGCTCCATTGAGGCCATTGTAGTCAGTTATATCATTGGATTTTAGACATGTATTTCATAGAGTATTATTTTGTCATTCATCTTATCAAGCTTACCTGTATGATGGGCGATAACTGATGAATACTCAGAATTCCTAATGCCCTTGTGTTATTACTAGATGACTGGAATATCTCAGCATACTACTATAGGAAGGCAGGGCTTTACCCTTCTATTTTATCTTTATTTTATTTATTTTTATTTTTTTATTTGCAAGCGGGCATGTATGCTCACTGGAGAGGGACAGAAATAGGGAAAGTGAGAAAACAACCCCTGTGGGGAAAGGTCATACTACAGTCCCTTATCTATGTCTCCCTCCTCAGGATTTTGGGTGTGCATGCATGCACTCACACACACACCACAATTCTCAAGCTATGGGGTCTCAAACTTAAACTATGCAGTTGGCCACATGGGATCCAACCTCTCTAACCACCATGCCATGAGCTGGCCCTCCAGTTCTATCTTAGACTCTTTTCTTTAATGTTTATATTTTGTTCTACTTTGAATAGTAAGAATAGGTTCCAATTATACCCCTCTGATTATTATTAGAGATCAATGATTTTTAAAAATTACTTCCTAGAGGGTATGTACATTTGCCAAAGAGAGAAAAAGGTAGAGAACACCTCCTTCCTCCCCATATGTAGAGTGTGGTCATACTGCAATTCTTTTTCCCCCATTTCTCCATCCTGTCAGGATTTGGGGCACATACACACATGTGTCTGATATGTGTTTCAAATCACAGAGACTGGAATTCAAACCACTGTCACCCATATGGCATTCAGCTCCCTTAACCACTATTCTAGATCCACCCTGGGAACACAGATCTTAATCAGATAAACTATAATCTCTATCATATACCCTTTGTTCCTCTTCTAAGAAACATAGTACCATGACACACTAAACTCACACAACCTTCCAAAAGACCATTTTGGAGGGTACCATTGGGTGATAAGTCTTATTATGAAAACTGATCTGAGGGTAGGGAGAAAGGTATTTGGAGGCAGATTACTTTTGATATCAGCATCATGTTTGTACTAGAACTCTGAAAATGTTATTTCTAGTTATAGTTGAATATAATAACAGAATTATATGAATTATATAGGGATCCACTGTGTATTTCAAAAGAAGTTATCTAAAGCTAAAAGAATTATTAGTTGTCGGGAAAGTCATCAGATGTTTTTCTATTTTTCTATACAAAATAGTGTCATGATTCCCTACAACATAATATATGTATCGTGGACTTTGTTTTTTCCTAACCCTAACCCAGCCCTAACCATAACCAAACTGTAACCTAACCCTAACCCTAACCAAACCTTAACCTAACCCTAATCCTAACCCTAAAGCCCTAACCCTAAAACATTAACCCCAACCCTAAAACACTAACGCTAACAAAACACTAACCCTAACCCTAATCCTAACCTAACACTAACCCTAACCTAACCCTAACACTTACAACCTAAAAATTAACTGTAAACTAACCATAACCATAACCAAACCCTAACCCTAACTCTAAACCAAACCCTAAACCATAAACCCTAAATCCTAAACCTAAACCCTAACCCTAACACTAAACCTAAACTAACACTAACCCTAACCCTAAACAGATCCTAAACCTAACCTTAACCTAACCCTAACCTAACCCTAACCCTAACTCAACCCTAACAGTAATCCTAACCCTAACCCTAACCATAACCTAACCCTAACCCTATACCCTAAACACTAACCTAACCCTAACTTTAACCCCTACCCTAAACTCTAAACCCTAAGCCTAAAACCTAACACTAACACTAACCATAACCTAACCCTAACCCTAACCCTACTCTAAACAAATCCTAACATTAACCCTAACCCTAATGCAAAACCTAACCTACCCCTAACCCACACACAAATCCTAACAAACACTAACGCTAACACTAACCCTAACCAAACCTTAACCTAACCCTAACCCTAAAACACTAACCATAAAACACTAACCCTAACCAAACCCTAAACATAACCTTAACCCTAATGCAAACTGTAACCCTAACCCTAATTCGGACCTAACACTAAGCCTAACCTAAACCTAACCTAACCATAAAATTAAATCCTAAAACCTAACCATAAAATAAACCTAATCATAAACCCTAACCCTAACTCTAACCCTAACCTAACTCTAACCCAATCCCTAAACCCTAAACCCTAAGTCCTAACCCTAAATTTTAAACCTAAACCCTAACGTAACATTAACCCTAACCTAACACTAACCCTAACCCTAACCTAACCCTAATCCTAAACCTAACCCAACCCTAATAGTAATTCTAACCCTAACCCTAACCTTATCCTAACCCTATATCTTAAACCCTAACCATAAGCTAACCCTAACTCTAACCCATACACCTAAACCCCAAACTTAAGCCCTAAACCTAAAACTAATCCTACCCTAAACAAATTCTAAACCTAACCCTAATGTGAAACCTAACATAACCCAAAGCCTAACCCTAACACTAAACATAACAAATCCTAAAATTAAACCTAACCTAACCCTAAAGCCCTAAACCAAAAGCACTAACCCTAACCAAGCCCTAACCCTAACCATAAAGTAAACCCTAAACCTAACCTATCCTAACCCTAACACAAATTAAAACCCTAACCCTCACCCCAACCCTAAACCCTAGCCCCAACCCTAACATAAACCTAACCCTATCTCAAACCCTAATACTAACCCTAACCCTAAACCCAAACCCCAACACTAACCTAAACTTAACCCTAACTCCAATCCTAACCCTAAACCTAATCCTACTCCCGAACCCAAACCCCAACCCTAACCTAACCCTAACCCTTTCTGAAATCCTAACCCTAATGCTAACCCTTACCCTAATCCTAACCACAACCCCAACCTAACCCTAACCCTACCACAATACCTAAACATAGTTTTAACCTAATCCTAAACCCTAACCCTAACACTAAACCCTTACCCCAACCATAACCTAACCCTAACACTTTCTCAAAACCTAACACCACACACTAACCACAACCATAGCCTAATCCTAACCCTAACTCAATCCCCAACCCTAAGCCTAACCTAAGCCTAAACCATAACCTTAATCTTACCCCTAAACCCTAACACGAACCCTTACCTAAACCTAACCCTAACTCAAACCCTAACCCAAACCCTAACTCCAATCCTAACCCAGCCCTATCCCTAACTCAATCCCTAACCGTAACCCTAACCTAACCCTAAACCCTAATCCTAACCCTAACTGGACCCTAAACCTAACCCTAACTCAAACCCTAACCACAACTGTACCCTAACCCTAACTCAAAACCTAACCCTAACCCTAAACCCTAACCCCAAGCCTATACTGACCCTAACCCTAACTCAAACCCTAACTCAAACCCTAAACCTAACCCTAACCCTAACCATAACCCTAATCCTAACCCAACCCTAACTCTAACTCAATCCCTAACCATAACCCTAACCTAATCCTAAACCCTAATCTTAACCCGAACCTGAACCTAAACCTAACCCTAACTCAAACACTAACCCTAACCCTAACCACAACCGTAACCTAACCCTAACTCAAAAAACTAACCCTAACCCTAACCCTATATTGACCCTAAACCTAACTCAAACCATAAACCTAAACCTATCCCTAACCCTAATCCTACACCCTAACCCTAACCCTAACCCTAACCCTGATCTCAAACTATAACCCTAATCCTAACCTAAACCTAAACCCTAACCCTAACCCAAAACCTATCCCTATCCCCAAACCTAACCTAACCCTAACTCTCTCAGACCTTAACCCTAATCCTAAACCTAACCCTAACATAACCCTAACCCTACCTTAAACCCTATCCCTAACACTAAATCTAAATCCTAACCCCAACCCTAAGCTAACCCTAATTCTAACTCAAACCCTAACCCTAATCCTTACCCTAATCCTACATGCAAACCCTAACCCCAACCCGAGTCTAACTCTAACCATATCTCAGACTCTAAACCTAACCCTAACTCCAACCATAACCTAACCCTAAACCTAACTCAATCCCTAACCCTAATTCTAAGCTAATCCTAAACCTTAACCCTAACCTAACCCTAATCCTTATCCATAACTCCAACCAAAACCCATCACTAACCCTAACTCAAATGCTAACCCTAACTTTAACCCTAACCCTACCCCCTAACCCTACCCCAACCCTAACCATTACCTAACCCTAACTCTATCCCTAAACCTATCCCTAACCCGAACCCTAAACTAACCCTAACCATTCATGGTGGATTTTTCTAGGCCAGCCATTTTCTCTTCTACATCTGAGATTCTATTTTCTGAATGATCTAGCCTGCTTTTAATACTTTCAAAGGAGATTTTTACTTCTTGTATTATAGACTTCATTTCTAACAGTTCTGTTTGACTCTTTTGTAAAGCGTGTAATTCCTCTTTTAGATCTTGCAAGAATTTCCTCATCTCCTGGAACTCATAAACTTCTTTCTCCTTTATCAGTTCATTATCTCTCTTCTCTTCCATCTCTGTTAGCTTTGACATTATGAATGCTCTAAATTCTTTATCAGACATTTCCATGATTTTCACCGAACTGCTTGTGGATGAAGAATAGTTATTCTTTTCCCTTGGAGGAGAGGTATTTTCTCGTTTTCCCATATTTCTTGTGGTCCGGTGGTGATTTCTTGTCATCTGATGGATGGTGTGTTTCTTTCAAATTCTTGAAGTTCAGCCTGAATGTTCAGGAGCAAGCAGACAGAGGTGATCTAGAATCTCTTTGCCATTCTGTTGTGATCGCTGGTGCAGCTGATTCAGTAGATATTGGGGAATATTTTAACCCTATTAGTATTTGGATGTTTAGCTACAGTGCTCTTAGATCTGTCTAAAAACACAATGAATGGATATTGGAGGGTGGAGAGACAAGAAAAAGGAAAAAAAAGACAGAGAGAAAGAACAACGAAAAGGAAAAAAAAGACAAAAAAATTTTAAAAAATTGTAATTAGTGTTCTTTTTAAAAAAAAAATCACAGAAGAGAAAAACCACGCAGCGCACAAATCTAGTTCACTGGAGCCATGTGGAAACTTCTTCTGAAGGCCCGGCTTCTCCTGCCTGGGAGGGAGGACCAGAGCAATAAATAACAAGATAAGAGGTGGAGCTGAGAGCCAGAGAAAAACTGTGCCTTTAAAAAAAAGTGTAAAAAGGAGAAATTACAAAAAAAAAAAAAAAAAAAAAAAAAAGGAAAAAAAAAAAGAAAAAATCACACACAAAAAAAGGGAAGAAAGAAGCAGGGAGAGATAGGAACCGAGACAGAGAAACAGAGATAGAAGGCTGGGAGTGTGGGGTGGGGGGGCTCTCTACCACTAGCTTGTTTGTTGGAGGCTAAATTATCAGCAGAAAATCTTCATTCCCTGAAAAATCTAGTTCACTGGAGCCATGTGGAACCTTCTTCTGAAGGCCCGGCTTCTTCTGCCTGGGAGGGAGCAAGGTAGTGTTGTTATACAATGGACGTCTACTAGAGAGGTCTGGGTTCAAGTTCTAATTCCATTAACTATGTTGGTCCTGGGAATAGCAGCTGTTCTTTACTTTGATGTTTCCCATAAATACATTAGGATATTTTACTAGATCTCATCACTAAAGCCTGATGTATCTTTAAAATTTTAGTATCTTAAGGAATGGTCACCATACTTTAAATATTTATCAATGAGATATTGTGGAATAATGTGGATTATTCTAGTACCACAGTTTTTAATGTGTTTAACCAAGTATTTTCATATGTTTCATTATATCTTGATTTTTATACAGTGGCTATTTAATTCTCAAGGAAGTATTAAGTAATACTCATAAAGAGTAAAACTATTGACTTACCATTCATTTATTGTTTAAAAGCTTTATATTATGGTAAATTTGAAACACATAAAAATAATATAATGACCTTCTGCAAACCCAAGATTATCAATTTTTGACAGTCTTGTTTATCATTTTCCTCTATCCATTTTAAAGTCTTCTGTTAACTTTTACCTGTTTTAGGATCATTACTTAGAGCTTTGTTCATGATGCTTATTATTTTACTTCAACAAATTGTCAAGTCACTATTTTCCCTCATATGATCTGAAAATTTAGATCATTGCCCTTATTAGTACAGTCAGTGATGGTTTGGTCAATAATTGACTACATACATGACATGGGTCCCACTGGATTATAATGGAGTTGAAAAATTCCTATTGCTTAATGACATCATAGCCCTTGTAACTGTAACACATTTTTCAATGTTTGTGGTGTAAACAAACCTACATTGCCGGTCATATAAATATATAGCACAAATAATTTATTCAGTACATAATAATTCATGATGAAGTATTTTATTGGTTTATGTCTACTTTATTGGTTTATAGTGTTTACTATAACTTTTTATTTATTTATTTTGTTATAGAGTCCATGCACATCCCAGAGATCAGAGAAACGAGAAAGGGAAAATGAGAAATCTACCCCCAAGGGGGATAACCACACTGCAATCCCTTCTCCATTCTCTTCCTGGGATTTTGATAATGCATGCACATGCACCTGATCTGTTTTTCAAACTACCAGGCCTAGACTCTAACTAAGCTGTCAGTCATGTGGGATCCAGTGTTGTAATAACCTCTCCATCTTCTGGCTTACTAGGCTGTACCTTTTTTTTGAGGGGGGGGGAGGTTTTTGCTATAGGGTGTGTGGGCTTGCCAGAAAGACAGAGACAGAGAGATAGAAAGCAAGAAATCACTCCCCAGGTGTCCCAACCTGCAGGACAAACAGTCACCTGGGGGAGGGAGTGAGAGATGGGACAAACACACAGACACACAGAGTGGAGACAAGATGAGGTGCTGATCAAGTCTCATTTATTAAGGAAGAACAGCTTATATACAGGCTGGTGGGCATTGATTGGTTGCCAGAAATGCAAATGTGATAGAACAGCATGAACCAATCATTGGTGTGGGTGGATCTCTCCCATTGCCTAGAAACCCAACCACCCCACGGGGAGAACAGCTGGTCACTTGATTTCTGAGAAACTGTTTGCTCAGTGAGGAAGTGAAACTTAATGGTTTCCAAGATGGTGGATAGCTCAAGATGGCAGATAGCTCAAGATGGCTTCCATATGCAGTGCCCTCCACACCCAGGGGGCATGGACATGCCACAATCCCTTCTCCATTCTTCTCCTGGGATCTTGGGCACGCACGCACATGCACCTGGCGTGAGTTTAAGCCACTGGGTTCAGGACTCGAACTGCGGTTGGCTACATGGGAGTTCAGTGACATAGCCATTATGCTAACTGCTGGTCCCCTAAGCTGTAACTTCTTATTGATACTTTAGGGTGTAGTTTTCTACCTATGAAAGTAGTTTATTTTAAAACTGCATCTATTATATTGGCAACAGTCTCATATGAATCTCTTGTTTACCAAATCTTGTGATTACATCATTTTATCTGGTGGTTGATTTTAATCTCATGTTTGGTTTATCATGGCTCTTCCACTGGAAAAAATTGTGGGTTTAGACTCTGTTGGCCTAGGCAAATATGTATATTTGTGTCTTTAGTTTTTTGTTTATTTTGTTTTATTTTTTAGATAAATTTTTTTGCTATAGAGCGCACACACTTACTAGTGAGACAGAGAAACAGAAAGAGAGAAATCACACCCCAGGGGGAATGGCCATGCCTCAGTCCTTCTTCCTCCATTTTCTTCTTGAGGTTTTGGGCATGCACACATACATCCCCAGCATGAGTTTCACACCTCCGGGTCCAGTACTCTAACTGTGGTCTACTATGTGGCAGTCCAGTGATGTAACCATTATGCCATAGGCCAGTGCCTGTGTCTTAGTTTTTAACAAAGTTTAAAAAGCAAAATAGAAATAAAGATAAAAAATTTTGAAAGTAGGAAAGTTCATGGAACAAGAAGATTAAAAAGTATTTTTGTATAGTTGTATAACATATTTGTGTTTTAAATGTTATTACAAAAGAGTCAAAAAGTCCCTAAAAATTAAAAAGTTCAGACACTTGGTATATATTAAGTGAGGGCATACAATGTCTCTCTTTCATAGCCTGCCTTGCTTCACTCAACAGTAAATCTTCCATACTCTTCCATTTTCTGTCATAAGCCAAGGTTTTATTGTTTTTTTATGGCTGAATAGTATTCCATAGAGTATGTGTGGAGGAGTGGGGCCTAAGGAAGGACATTAGGAGGAGGGATATGGAGGCAGAGCATCGATGAGATAGGCAGGTGTGGTGTTATCGGTTGAAGATATTTTGATCAACTAGACTGGGGAGAAATGTTCATATATTGAAATGTTCACTTTGTAAACTAATAATGTGATTGAATTTATAAAAAATTAAAAATAAATAAATAAATAATTAAAGTTTATGAAAGTCACAGTAAGGCTAATATATTATTGAAGAAGAAAAAAAAAATATTTTGTAAATTTAATAATGGCCTAAGCATATATAGTATTTATAAAATCTACAGTAGTGTATAGAAATGTCCTAGGCCTTCACATTTATTTACCACTCACTCACTCATTGACTTATAGCACTTTCCAGTGCTGCAAGCTCCAGATGTATCACCCCTATTAAGCAATGCAGGGCTATATAAATGTGTTTTGTTTTTAAATTTTTTACCTTTCCTGTTTTAGATGCAGCAGTTCTTGGGAAGACCACTTGTGAAAGAATCTTTCTTTCGACCCATACTTACCGTCCCGCAAATGCCTATAGTTTGCCCAGCAGTCATTTCTGTACCTGGTCAACCTAGAGCCCCCTTGGTAAATCCTTTTTTGGTGAAATAGGCATTAACTATTATTATAATAGTGGTATTCCTGAATATATGTCTTTTCTTTATGCACTTATTTGATATGATAGTGATGATGAAGCACTGTGCTAAGAGTGTTACATATATTACTTAATTATTTAACTGATATTAGATTAGTATTTTTATACAAGTGAGTCCTTATGATTACAGATTCTGTAACAGGCTACAATGCCAGGTAAATGGACATTTGTAGTAGATCATTTATTTTTAGCATGGTCAAGAAGTAGATTGAAAAGCAAGGGAGCCAAGTCACAGCACACATAAACTATACCACAGAGTTACAGGAAAATTTCCTGCACACACACTCACATGCATATGAGCTAGTAGGACAGTATTTCAACTATATGAAGACTTAAAAAAGTTCATGAAAAATAGAGTTAAGGTATATTTTAGTGCAAAAAACTTGAAATCTATGCATATTTTTTTCATAATACACATTTTCTTATGAACTTTTTGAACACCCCTCATATACATCTATATAAAGACAATATAAATAGTATCCCCTTTGAATATACACCTTAAGTTATAAAATAGCTATAAAAAAACAAATAAATTTTATCAAAACCTGAAGAAAGAAAAAAGAAGTTTAAAATGACTAGAATTATTAGCTGTAACTTTTGCTGAACTTATTAAAAGAAAAATTGTCTTTCAAAAGAATGATATTAGATATAATTAATGAAAAATTGTGTAATTGTTACTCTCCCATAAATACATTCTAGTCATTTTTTTCTTGCTTTTGGTACCTCTATATTGTAACATTATCTTTATGAAAAATGTAGTCAGATGGACTCTGCTTCTTTTCTCAGAAGCTGTCTACACAGATGTACGTAAAACATGTTAAAGAAGTCCCGCATCTTTTTATCACTGTGATAGTACAGTGTTACTCATTCAGTACACTTGCCCACCATTCTTATAAGGAACTATGACACAGTTTTGTAAAAACTGTTTTTTTTCACTTTTTAATATTCTCTGTTGTTATTTTATTGCATCTTAGGATCTATCTTTATATTAAAACTAATATTAAAATACCTAAACTTACTACTAAGATTACTTTCTGATTCCTGGGAAAGTACTTGATACTGAGGCAAATCCAGGTTTCTGTGCAGTACAGTCACCCCTCAGTATCTGTGGGGTTTTGGTTTCAGGACCCCCACAAATACCAGCATCCACAGACCTTCAAGTCCATAGTATTTGGTGTAGTATTTGCACATACTTTTGCACCTCCTCCCGTTTACTTCAGCTCTTCTTTGTATGACTTATAATACCCAATACAGGATAAGTGCTTTGTAAATAATTGTTATATTCTATTGTTTAGGGGATAATGACAAGAAAAATATCTGTAAATACTCAGTACAGAAGCAACCAAAACACATCAGCAAGTATAATATATTCAATCTTCATTTGGTTGAGTCTGCAGATGTGGGAACCCCCAGATACAGAGGACTGATTGTATACTGTTCCTTCTCACTTTTAAACTTGGTACAAATTATTCCAATCACTGTTAGTAGTTGCCAATTTTTTATGAGTACTTGCCTCATATTTTTAAATAATCCATAGGGTCTTGGGTAAAAGTTGATATATATGTAATCATTTTAGTATCAGATTAGCATTCCAAAAATGTTCACTTACTAATAATTCATCTTAATGGTTCTAAAAAGGAATTATAAAATGTGGAGAAAACAGATGGTTTTGTGGCTCAGAGGTGTCACTACGCTTTCCACATCATTTTTGTGTATAATATTCATTAGACACTGTAAACAACAATTCTAGTACTATTCCCATTTTTATCTAATTGCTTAAAAATAAACTTTATCTTCTAATTATAAAAGTATATTTGATAATCATAAAAATGCAAATGATGCAGAAATATACAAGGTAGAAAGGAAAAATTATCCTGTAGTTGAGTGCCTAGGAAATAGTCACTGTTGACAGATTATTGCAAAACTTATAGACCCTTTTCTGTACGTACATACACTTTATAAGTTCTTGATATGAAAGGAGTCATACCATAAGTTCTATGTCACAGACTTTTTTTTAAGCTAATATTATTTCATGGGCATCTCTCATGCCCAGACACATAAATTTATTTTTAAGAACTTGATTATATATGTCATAATTTATCTGCTCAGTTTTTCATTGTTTCAAAAATATATCAATAAGCACCCTGCATGTATTTGTGTACATATGTAAAATTACTGCAGGCATGTACTGTTTTTTTAAAAAATAAGTTAAAATAGTTATAAACAATTAGAAATATTTTTGGACCAGTTAAGAAAATTAGAAATATTTTGGGGCCAGAGAGAAAAAGTTGAAAAAGCGAATATGTGTGTCAGTATTACTCATCTAACTTCTGTCCATTTTCTGAGATATGGAATTATCACATTGACATGAAACATTACTTTTTTAATAGTTGAAGCCACTGGATTATAACTCTGTGCTCCTTACAGATGACTGGCATAGCCTGGACTGTGCCTGCGCCTGTGGGAGAGACTGTGCCTGCCTGTGCTCGGCTGGGAAGTGATTCTTCCATGATGAATTGGGAAAGGATGACAGATAGACTGAAAACCGCCTTTCCACAACAGACCAGGTACCTTAGTTTTTCTTTAGTGGTGAGTACAGATTCTGTTCTTCAGTTTCCATAGTCATAACTGTGGCAATAAGACACTTCAGAGAAACATAACACCTACACACAAAAAAATAAAGAAATTTCCTTACTGAGACTCTGGTAAGTAAAATTTACCAAGAAGGATGGTGTTCAAGAGAAATGCTGAAGATTTTTATTAAAGTTATTGGTCTTCACAGACTTTCCTTGCCTGCCAGCAGGCGCAAGGTCCACCTACAAGCCTCTGGCCAGCAAAGGATATTGAGGGAGGGTCACCTCTGACTCCCACCCCACTTCCAGACTCCCCAAGCCAAGACTCCACCTCCTAGGTAGGTAGATAGGATCTCCCTGCAGTGTCTTTTATCTTGAAACCCCACTATTCTCTTATTAAAACCTAGCTCTGCTTCTCTTCACAGACTTTCCTTGCCCGCCAGCAGGTGCAAGGTCTGCCAGCAAGACTGTGGCAAAATCACGTGCCGCGCTAACGGGCGGCGTGTTACTTTTTATTTTTCTCTGCTGTCTTTCATTTTGTTTCATATTATCCTCTCTTCCTCATTTTTTACCCTACCAGAGGGACTAGACAGGTCTAGAATCATATATCTGAAATTTCCTAGTAAGGTAAGTGTCTCTGGGATCCTCCCTTGTACTGATCCACCAGTGAAAATGGAGATACTGCTTTTTAGACCCCCTCAGTAGAGTTCTCCTCTTGAGAGCACATTGGTAAAAACAACAGAAAAGAGACTTCAGCAAACATCTATTCCCATCCAAAAGGAAACACTCTTACTCCTAGTGGGAGAAATGTTCTCCCAAGAGGTTTTTAAAAGGGAATACATCTTCCAGTGGTTAGAAGTAGAAAAAGAGCCTCGGGTCTGAATAAACAAACAAATGTCTCCAGCAAAGGAAAATGCCCTTCAATGTCTTGTAAATGTGGAGGACATTACCAAAATGACAGACACAGAATTTTGAACATTCATGGTGACCAAATTCTGTGAATTAGAACAGAAAGGAGACAATGAACTGCAGGAGATTAGGAAGTCCTTCCAGGATATGAAAGAAAAAATGGATACTCTGAGAAAGAATCAGGTGGAACTATGAGAGATAAAGTCTATAATACGAGAAATCAAAAACACTCTGGAAAGTATTAAGAGCCGATTAGACCATGCTGAAGACCGAATCTCTGATGTAGAAGGTAAAACATCTGATCTAGGAAAAAAAACACTAAAAAGATCGAGAAAATAACTAAAAAACACTAGGCATCTAGAACAAAACACCAAAATGATCAAGAAAATAATTTAAAAAAACACGAGGATAATATACGAGAAATACTAGAATCTATTAGATGCCCAAACATCAGAACAATTGGCATCCCAGAAGATGAAGAAACTAATAGCAGAATGGAAAATCTATTCCATGAAATCCTGGAAGAAAATTTCCCAAGCCTAGAGAGGCAC